ATGACATGATTGTCAAGTCCAAAGAGGCCCGAGACCATGTACGGGACCTCGAGGAGGTCTTTGAAATCATGATGAAGGTAAATTTAAGATTGAATCCGAAAAAGTGTACTTTTGCTGTTCAGGGTGGAAAATTCCTCGGGCACATGGTTAGCCGGAAAGGGATTGAGGCAAACCCGGAAAAAGTTAGGGCCATCATGGAGAAGGAACCCCCAAAGACAGCAAAAGAAGTCCAGCGGCTGACAGGGAGATTGGCGGCTTTGAATCGTTTCCTTTCAAAGCTGGCAGAGAAGGCGCACCCATTTTTTACCGTAATCAAGAAGAGGGCGACCTTCGAATGGACGCAGGAATGTCAGGAAGCATTTGAAGAATTGAAAAGATATCTTGCGAGTCCTTCGGTTTTATCTAAGCTAGAACCTGGAGATGTCCTGACTTTATACTTTGCGATTGCAGACTATGCCATCAGTACTGTGATAGTGAGGGACGAGAATGGGGTCTAACATCCGGTCTACTACGTCAGCAAAACCCATTTAGACAAATGTGCAACTCTAGAGGGGGGTGAATAGAGTTGTTTTCAAAAATGTGCGTTTTTCGCGGGTGTGAAATAAAAAATCGCAGAAATAAGTAAAGAGAGTAAGGGAAAGAAGAACACCGGGATTTGTACTGGTTCACCACCTCGTGGCTAGTCCAGTCCTCCGAGAGACTCTCTGGAAAGTCCTACTAATCTTCAAGCTTCAATGGGTGCTTGAAAAAACGGTACAACTTGAGAACTTGAATCACACAAGCCTCACTTTCTTACAACAACAAGACTTGAGTCACATAAGTCTTAAGAACAACACTCAAATGAGATTGAGTTTACAACACAAGAATGAAAGCTCACACAATTGAGCAAAGTAGTGTTTGAAGAATTAAAGCTCTATGGATGACAACTTCTTTAGCACTCAAAGAAAATATTTCTAACTCTCAAAAATAATATTTTGATGAGGAAGATGAAGCAAGGGATGACAATGGCTCAATGAATATTTGGAGTGCAAGAGTGAAGTGTGGAGAAGAAGGAGAATGAGGGATTAAATAGGCTGAGTGAAAATAAATCCGTTGGAGCAGGTTGAGAATATGCACCAGATAAAATTAATCGATTAAAGAAAAAGGTTAAATCGATTATGGTACACATAGGCGAAAAGGCCTGAAAAGAAAGACTGAACATAATCGATTAAATGAAGGCCAATAATCGATTAGGTGGTTCGGTCCGAACTAATCGATTAATCAAAGATAAATAATCGATTATTATTCAAAGTTGGGCAGCCCACCGAAAAGCTTATAAATCGATTAAAGTGAAGCAACAAATCGATTAGGAGGTTCTGTCCAAACTAATCGATTTTCATAAAAGAAATAATCGATTAAATATTATGACCTGAGAAATTGCGCTGGATCTAATCGATTATCTTAGAGGATATAATCGATTAAAAGGAAAATAATGTGCAAACACAAAGGGCCCAAGCCAAGTGCGATTGGAAGCAGTTTGGCTTCTAATTCGTTGTTTGGGACAACGAGAATAACAACGGACGCTCCTCGGATAATATCTCCCTATTCAATGAATTTGAGTAGGGGAGAGAAAAGGAGTCCAAAAATTATTTTGTGTGTCAAACGATACACGAAAAATATTTAAGGTATATTTTTCTTACCACAAAAATTTGTATATCCTTAAAAATTTTTTTAAGAATTTTTGACACACTATTTTGAAACTGACTTGGTAAAATATTTTTAGACAGAGAAAAAATAATTTTTCAACTGATTCAGAAAATAATAATTTTTATCCCTCAAGATTAATTTGTTTATGCAGAAATTATTGTCATCCTTACAAGAATTCCTAGACTCAATAAAAAATAAAAAGTCTTCGGAGTCTTCACTTCACTTCAAAAAAACT